GACAGGAAGGTTGTTGTCAGCCTCAGTCGGCTACCCTGAGGAACGGAGTCGGCCCATCTTACAGGCGATTGGTTTTGTGGTTTTGGAGAAAAAGTCGACACTGGGGGCTGCAAACTTCTATCACACGATACTTCGCTGTCGGAAGAATGCCGATCAACGGCGTCTCATGATGTCTGAGGAGAGTCTTCTCGACTAAAATACATGGCCTGGTTTGGGACTGCCGAAACATCCCGATCAAGCCAATAAATAACCCGAGGCACCACGTGGACTACCGCCTGTTACTGCAACGTCTTGCAAACCAACGTAGGAACCTGCTTCGATAAGCGCTTTTGAATGTACTCTCCACAAAGACGATGAAAACGCAAGGAGCGCGCTGCCCCCCTCCCAACAAGTCAGGTACGCCATCCTGGGACTCGTACAGAAACAACCTCTTACAAAATCCGGAATAAACAGAAAGAGACTACCGCGCCATGATCACTTGCGTTTCCTTGCGAGTATTTTCTCTTCTTTTGCAACGATGTGGGCTTTGATTAACTCGTCGCCGGTGGACATCTGTTGAAAAGAAGCCTGTTGAAACCCGTGGTCTAAGGAAAGGTCAGCGAATCACTACTGGGGCGGAAGGGCGAGGGTACGACATACAGAAATCCTTATGTGCTTCCCAAGCCAATTTGAAGGCCCCCTGCAAGGCGGCATCGTTCCTCAGGCCTCCCGGGCGCGGATCCTTGAGACTGTCTAGTATTTTTCTTGTGCGGAAAAGCTCCGAGTACACGACAACGACGCTGTGAAACAGCTGTGTTGTTGCTGTTCGGAATTGGTTCCGCTTGAGGTTCTCCGAGGCCCCTATCCAGTGAGTTAGTATGTGCCTTGCTTTTAGTGGGGATGCAGTTGGACTCACCGTCTATGAAGACCGGGGCAGGGTATCCTGGCTGATCAATGAGCATTTGGCTCAAGGATTGGCGATATATCAAGATGAGCTGCCACATGGACACCCATATGCTGATATTTAGCGCAGATTGGAGATATCGATGCTCCCCCTTGATGCCGAAGGGAGCCAAAAATCTATCAATGCCCTCAAGAACAGACTTCTCAAGCGACGAGATTGCATGCTCGGCGCGCCGGCGTAGGTGGTCTTGAATAGGTTGAAGAACGGGGCTGGAGGTGGCTACCATCCCGTGGGACGCGACTCGGATATAAAACTGTTTGCAACGCCAGACCTTCCACATACTCCTCATGTCCAGCAGCTTCTTCATCCAAGTTTGTTGATCCTTGGCAAACTTGGCGGATGCGTCGTCAGGCTTTCTGGCCTCGAGGTTGAGAGCTTTTTGCAGCCCGTCGTTTTGAACAAAAGCTAGGAGGAGATTTTCAATACAGGACTCGAAGGATTCATTCCTCTCGGCCCCCATTTGGCTTTTGGCCCAAAGAAGGATGTCATCTTCACTGGGGCTGGCTTCGGGTTCAATGCCCCAGGCTTCATGACCGCCGCTGGTGAAACGACACACCTTGAGCTCAAGGGGGGGGCCGATGGCAACCTCGGAAAGGAAGACAAAGATGGACCCGTGCTCTCCAGTGAACTGATCGCGACCCGTGGTCGGGTACGAATCCCAACACCACCGTACTAAACGATTCGTCAGCGTTTATAAGGTAGGGCCCCAATGGTGGTCAGGGGGGAGGCATACTTGCGGAACCCCCAATGATCTCGCTCGGCGATCTACGCAAGCACATCTTTTGTGCATGGGCCTCTGCTGCCGATGTGGTCGCTAGAGGACCCTGCAATTTGCCGCACTCTTCTTTACATTTGGAACACACTCCGTCGGCGGTACACTGACAAGCAAGTTAGCACATGTGGCTGAGATGTTGGCTGGGTCCAGAAGCGCGCTTACCGCAACTCGCCTGATTCGGCAATGGAGGCATGCGCCATTCTTCCGCACCTCGCTCGTCTTGTCAGAATCGGGCAGACATCGCGCGCGGGAGGGACGGGAAGAAGAGGTGTTCTCAGCGGGTGCTATAGTGGGCGCGATTGAGATGGTCTGTGACCGGGGGAGAGGTGTGTCGGGGATGCCGGGCCAGACCTGGATGGGGTGAAGATCCTGGGGGGCATAGTCTGGCATGGGGGTGTCCTTGTCGGCCTCGTGATTATTACCAGCCGAGGACGGGGTGGTGAGGGCGGACGAGGGGCTCTTTGCCGAGCCGGTTTCTGAGAAGACGTCTGACATGGTGGTTTCCTCGGTTGTGACGGCTTCATACAGGGGCCAGTCAAAATAGATCTCGGAGGGGTCAGAACTATCTTGGGGGGACCCGGGGTGCTCGGGGTTTTCTCTGGAGCGAGAATCATGACCAGGCAGGTTTAGGGGGAATGCATTTGGGGTACTGCTCCCAGTGCGTTCGTAAAAAGTGGTGCTTCCGGTGACGAGGGGGTCGCGACGAGACATGATGGCCGTGGTTGGTTCGGTCTGACGCAGGAGGCCAGCCATCTATTGCTTCTTGGGTTCCGATGTACCCAGGGCTGCGTAAGGAGTAACAGACAAGCAGCAAAGGGCAGTCCAGCGAGTACGGGTTCAGACAAAAGACAGAACGAGGCGTCTAAGACAGCAAAGGCTGCTCGCGGGTAGGCACCGTCACCGAGATCTCTAATGATGCTTTGGAGTGTGCTACTCGAGTGGAAGTGAAGGTTTTCAGGCGGCCGGATTGAGGGCTTCATGGCTAGTTTTCTGTGTGTCTTGCCGGCACCACCTGTTGAGCCTCTCTCTTACACACAAGGCGAGGCAGTCATGGAGGCTTGGCCCCATTCCCTTTCTCGGTGGTAACTAGGGGTATGATTGGCCAATCCAGAAACCGGGACACGGGTCTGAACCAATCAGGCACACTTACTTTCACCGAGAAATCGAGATTTCCATCACCCTGGTGTGGAAGCTAGAGACAAGGGGGTCCCGCGGAGCGCTGTGCATCGAAGTGCGCATGCACGTCGGACAGCATCCGGATCGGCGGTGCTGGCGCTGGTCTGCTCGGATGAGCGATGGCAGATAGAGTCAGACACATGGCTTCTGGCTGTTTCATTGCTCCTTTGCTCATCCGCGTAAGCGAATCGCGAAGCGGACGGGGATGGATGCGCACCACCGGGTTGTGTTGCGGTCCGCGCACTTCCTCTTTGCCTTCTTTCCGTTTTCTCGCATCTCATCTCGTCTGGGGCCATCTCGCTGACGCGGATCCAGCGCCATGGAAGCCCTCGCTCCGAGTGCCAGTCACACGCACGGCCACGGCCGGCACTCGTACATACTCTGAGGACTGCGCTGCATCTTCTTCTGTGGGCGCCCACAAGGCTGGGCCTGCGGGGGGGGATGTGGCACTCTTGGCCTTCCGTTGGTGTCCTTGCAGCATGCCTGCATGATGCGGCAGCGCAACGCTCGGCGCAAAAGGGCACCTTTGGGACCTGCTCATGGCACGATCTGGCGCAACCTTTTGCTCACCACAGGTCCCAAGAGGAGTCTGCCCAAGGCCATGATTGGGCTCGCAATGGGGGCGGACCGTCTGGCTGACCCGCGGGCTGTTTCTCTTGTGTCTGCAGTTCTACGTGTTGCGCGCTGTGTCGTGCGGCCTTCGAAGAGGACCTCTGTAGCTCTGGATAGTGGTGTAGACGGCTATGTACGTCTGGTAGCGGTGTTGGGATACCAACTGCCAACTCAACCCCTCCACCAGGTACATACCAACACCTCACGCCTCACTCTCACACACACGCGCACGCACAATTATACCCGCGGACGGCCGGACGGCAGCCAGAGAGGGCCGCGAAAAAGGGGGGAGTTGGGGCCAAGTGCGTGAGACGGGTAAGATAGCAAGGATGGCGCACGCAGATACGCGCCCGCGGTTGCGCGAGCGTGAGGAGTCCAAGACTCGACGGAGAATTGCGCCGGCAGCCCATGAGGCAGAACAGAGCGCAACAGCGAGCGCAACACGCTGCGCGCGCAAAGCCGACGGTTCATCGGTCCCAGGGCGCAAAGATCGCGCGCGTCGAGGCGCGATACCACCTTGGCCCTACCGCCATGGCACCGCCACGCCTTATGCCACCTCACCCCCCCCCCCCCCCCGCGACACGACGCGCCCATCGAGGAGACATGGCGAGATGAGATGCGGTGTGGGCGATCGGCCCTGGACATTACTAAGAGCGAAAGAAACGGTGTGTGTGTTGTGTTGGGTGTGGGGAAAGGGAAAGGGGCTTGTTGCCAGCGCTCTTTCGGGGTGGTTGTACAAGACTTGTGGGGGAGTCACACACTCACACACACACACACACACACACGCCTCCATCCCATGTCCGCAACGGGGAAGAAGAGCATGGGGTTTTGCGCAAACCCAACCCAATGCGCAAAAGACCGGGTAGATTTTGATTTCTTTCAGCTGCGCGAGCTTTTGCTCGACTAAAGTCCCGATCGCCTTGTTGACGAAAGACGCGTCAGCAAAATGGCCATGATTTTTTTCTTTTCTTCTTTCGTAATATTACTCTTTTTTCGTCTCGTCTCACACCCCTTCGCAAAGGTGTTGAGTGCCAACGAGGCAAACGTTTGCGCAAAGGTGCCCCTACAGTGGACGGTGGGGTCGGAACGGGATTCTACCTGGGTCCAAATGTATGATACAGATTGGCTGGCGGCCATTTTGGGTACGCCTAGGTCCTCTACCTTACCTTCTTTTATATGTGGGACCTATAAAACATCAACTTTTACAACATCCCTAATCAGCCTGCTAGCACGCGATAGGTCGAGCCAAGATGAATTGCCAACCTCAACAAAAGGGGACGCCGTTAGGCAAAATTTACATTTGCTCGCTTGTATCACTCGTATCACTCACGCACCCCCTTCATTTCAGACTTCTCAAACCTGGCATCTGCATGGGGCCCGGATCTTGTTGTAGTGCGCCCAGCGAGAAATCGACCAAAAAATAAACAAGAAAAGAGAAGAAATTGAGAGAAGCTCCCATTCCACCAAATAGACCATGTCCGACGGAGATACCGTCGATCCCACCAGGTCTCGAACCTGGAACCTCCTGATTCGTAGTCAGACGCTCTACCATTGAGCCAGCGGACGTCGTTTGTTGCTTGAAGGTGTTTCCACTCTTGCAGCCTTCCTTTGTCCGCGGGACTCTTCGTCAGGGTTGTTGCCCGGCTTCGACCAGTAAGTCGCGGCCAGGTCCCATCATTTCACATCAGCAGCTCTGAACCTTCGTATGTGGCACTTCAAATATCTGTCCGGAAAATAATATGCCTAGGCAGATTTCCACCATCTACCAAATTCGGGACTGTCGTAGGTTACCCCCCCCCCCATTTTGTCTAGACCTATCTATGCAAACACTCCCCATTCTTCAGGACTTCGGCGCAACCTGTGTAGCCTTATGGCCATCAATACCAGAGCGGGCAAACATCTCTTCCGATCGCAAGCGATACTCGAGAAGACTACCATGCTCCCATCGACCTCGGCAAGAATAGGAAAAATCTGAATATGCACCCAATCTAGCAACACACACCACAGATGCACATGTGGTACCCAACGTCGTTACCAAGCCATGCAACCCTCGAAACAGAAAAATGCGACCTGGGCTTGCCTTTCCTGCCTTCTCTCCACACCCGACTCCAACAAAGACCGCTGTTTGCAAACCGATGACTAGAAAGAAGAAAAATTACAGACAGGGTATCGTATCATCTATATCCATCCAACCTAAGAACTAAGTTAGATGGCAGACGCAGATTGTCTCAACTGTAAAAACTAACGCTGCTCCCAACATGCCCGCAAGCAGTGCTCAATAATCCCATCAGAAGAACGACTTCTTCTTGACCTTCTTCTCCTTCTCCATCCCCTTGAGGATATCGTCAAACGTACTCCCCTCCCCGAACAAAGGGCTCGGCGCATGGCCCTGGCCCGGCGGACTCGCGCGGCGTGGTGGACCATGCTCCGGCCTGAGGTTTGTGACCGACACACTTCGCTGACCGAGCTGGTATATCGGCGGTATCCCGGAATTGCTACTCCCGGGCCTTGATCCGCCCACACTGACGATCCTCGACCCGCGGTCCCCGGGGACACCACCCAACTCGGGAAACGAGAGTGGTTCTAGCCCCATCGACATGCTTGAGTGGTACCTGTGCCCCCTGCGCATGCCCGTAGGCGACGTGTTGCGGGGCATCAACAGAGGCGAGCCGGGGGCCGAGCCTACGGGTGACCCTCCCGGCCCCAAAAGGGGGTTCGACATGGGGTCTAAATCCTGGAACACGGCCCGGGGCGGCTCGAGAGGGGATGGGCCGATCTCGCGGATCGGGGGCGGGGGTGGACCGTTGAAAGACCCCGACCCGGTCACCAATCCGGAAGCGAGGGCAGGGCCGGACTGAGACGGTGTAACCAAGCGCTGCTCTTGCCATTCCTTAGCAGCAAGCCAGCAGTGGCTACGCATGTAGATGCCCTCGACGCTGAACATGATCACGTCGGCCGACAGCTCGACGATACCCTGACCGGCTGTCTGATACCACATCTTGCGCACTTCACCCGCATCCTCTATCCACGGGGCGTTGCCCTGTGGTGCCTGGCAGAGGAAGTACTCGACGCCCTCAGTATAATTAAGACCGGGTGCGTCCACGACGAGCATGGGAAGCGACTGAATAACAGCATGGAGGAAAAGCCAGTAGCCGATACGCTGGTCAGCCATATCCTGAGGGTGCACACTTTTCGCTTCCTTGAGTTCGAATTCCTTAAAAGCATTGAGGAAAGGCGTCTGAAGTGAGTCAGTGTCGATGTTGTGAGACTTGATGAAAAGAAGCAGAAGCTCATTGGACTGTAAAGTCTTGTCGAGTTTGGCTTGCTTCTTGGCTGACCACTGATTGTAGTTCCCGTGGATCGCCGTCATGCTCGGGAGCTTAGGAATGTCGTATGGAATTGGAGGAAGGACCGGCGGCGAGGAATGATCGAACTCGCTCAGCATCTTGCGCAATGCAGTTATCGAGGGATTGGCACCATCGGCATCCTCAAACAGCTGGTCAATGGCCCGGGGTGTCATAGATTCTCGATCGACCAAGAGGTCATAGAGCGCGCAAAGATCCGAGTAGAGCATTTTGAGGCACAAGCGGTTGAGCCCGCTCCGTGAGAAATGATTCTTCTTGCTCTTAGCCTTAGGTGGCCAGTTGCCAAACTTGTCCTTGTAGTATCCAAGGACGAAGTTCCTCATCTTGGCGAATGAGTTCCTCCATTCCTTGAACTTAACGTTCCGGTATTCCTCTCTTGAAGTTGAACTAGCGACGCCCGCAAAGAGCGACGGGAACTCGAAGGTTTCGAGCCGAAGATGGACGTTCGATTCGCGATTGATCAGATCGAGGTGAGCACGTTCCAGCCGGTTCCGCGTGCTCAGTGAGATGCTTCTGAATAGGGGCGAATTCAGGCTGCGAAGGTCGTCGTATTTGCCCACAGCATGAGCAAACGCTTCGTTGTAGAGGTTCCATGATTTCATTTGCTCCGCCAGGACGAGAGCCTCAATCGTCTTCGTCCGACTAGCCCGAACATCCCCGATCCCAAACTGATCGATGAAAAGGTCGAACGCTGCATCAACATCCTCGCCAAAGGAGGACCCATCGTAGCTGCTGAATCCAAACTGACGAAGGAGTGATGATATATTGAGAAGGGCTGCGAATACCGTGGGGTTTCCCGTAGTTCCTACTAACGGCTGGCTTGTCAGGAACGCAAACAGATTCCGAGCAGCCACAAGACTTTCAACGTCGGTATTCGCTAGTGGAAGGTATAGACACGCTTTCCCCGAGCTTGCCCGCATTGAGCTAGGGGGTAGCCATTGGGGCCTCGTGGCGTCGTCGGGGGTGAGAAGATGACCAGGTCGGGAGTTAGGGGAGAAGCCCTCCGAGGTTAAAAGTTCGCTCAGAATCAGCGATGATCCGACAACATGGTCGGCCACTCTGAAAGACGGCCCAAGACCACTCGGTTTCGGGTGTAAATAGACGCATACATTCCCGGGCTGGTTCCACAGCTCTGGCACCTATTAACTGTGAGCAGACGTGTGACGGCTACACAAACACGACCAAATACCTTTTCACCATCGACCAAAGCAGCGGTGTTATAATCTGCCAGGTTGTCTGGCGACATAATCCAGGCCCCCGTGCCGATACCTGCTTCAAAGCCTCCCGAGTTCGACCTTGATCGGCCGTGCAGCCAGCTTTTTCTCAACTTCTTTTCGCCATTATGCGGGGGGCTGGTGCTGCCATCACTCGAGGTTTTAGAGTTAGATCTCACATGGACAGGGTTCGGGACAATCCGAGGAACATCAGCAGAGGGTTGGCGGTCTCTCGAGGGCTGAGCCGAGCTGCTACGACCCCGGGACGCGGGAGAAGCGTGCTTGGGCCGTAGTCGGTTTGACTGTAGCTTTGCGCCTTCTGGCGTCCGCAAAGATGATACGCTTCTTCTCCGCTCCCGACCACTCCTTTTTGAAGGCGGAGAAGCGTGTGTTGCAGTGACGGTTGGCACGTCCTTCCGGGGAGGTGGCGGGGGCAACGTCTGCGAATGCGGATGTTGGGGAACCTTCTGCACCTTCTTCAACATCATGGTGGGCAGAGACAGCTTGCGGGTGTATTGCTCGGGGAGACTCTTTGGTGGAGGCGGAGGGGGTTGCTCGTCGAGCACTGGCGGGGCGGTCGAAGGTATTATACCTAGGCCGACAGGAGACGAGCTACCGGTTAGAGCGTATGCTGGCTGCCGGTAGGTTTCGGGGGACGGGAGAGGCGGCACCGGCTTGCGGTGGAGTGACTGGGACAAGACGGTGTCTGTTGGAGAAGGATATGTAAGTATGGGGAAGAACTTGAAAGATGTCAACACGTCCAGTCGAGACTTCCGCCGTTCTATCTTGGAATCCGCCGCGGATTCCATATTGGCGTCCCAATGCTTCGCCTCGTGCATGCAGGGTGGCGGTGGTGACACTGGGCTGTCGTTATCCGTGTCGGCGCCGCTCGAGCTCGATGGCGCGTCTGCCCGACTCGTAGGGCCTGGCGCTGAAGGGCCCATTTCGCTGTGTGGACCAAACGAGGGAAACCGCAAAGTGAGGGCGCTCTTCCGATGCCCGAGAGATAACTTACTCGACGCCATGTTACGTGACTAGCGAGCCAGTCAAGCCACTTTCAAGTCGTCCAGAACTAGAAGCCAGATGGTCTTCCCAGAAATGGACTTTCCCCACGCACGCTCTTATGCTCCTGTATCTCGGCTCTCGCTAGGGCGATCGAGGGAGAGCCGGACTTGAGACAAAGCGTTCAAAAAAGGCGAGGTTGTCGGGTGCGCAGAAGCAGAGCCAAGTGGGCCCGCAATACGAGGGGGGGGGGGAGGGAGGGGGGACAGGAGCGTGACGAGGCAAGAACCACAAAGTTTGTCAAGGGCTCAGAAGCAGAGGGAGAGGGTTTCTTATTGCTTCACGTTGTGGACTGACGCACAGAGGAAGTAGAAGAAGCAGCAGCCGATGCAGAAACGAGCACGCGGGTGAAGAAAACGTAAGGGAAACCAGCGAGGTGCACGGGACCTGAGTGGAGGTCGACGCAAAGAGCGATGACCTCGTCCCCCGTTCCAAAGGTCGGTCAATGGTTGGTTGTTTGAGGTGCAGGCCAGCTTCCTCTTGTGGCCAATGGATACCAAATCTCTCTTCTTTGTCCTATTTGTGGCTGCAACTCCTGGATGACCCATGTTCTGAGGATAGAGGCGAGTTTGCGCGCTTCCGTCGGGACTCTGGCTGGCACCTGCAGCGCCCAGTGTAGTGTATCCATCTTCCTAGCTCAGAGCGGATTCTCAGATTCTAGCGACCCATTCCACAACCAACAATTCATTCCACACATCTGCGCGCTTACAGGCGCCTCCTCGCTGGTGCTAACCGCTATTGGGATTTCTTCTTCTCCTCAACTCCCCCCTCAGTTCCCTAAAGCGAAGTCGAGGCCTCGCGTCGTCGTCACAGCTTGAGACACGGCGAAAACCAGGCTTGCAGTGCCAACGAATAACGTCATATATTCTCCTGTTCCCGGTAAACGGCAGCAGCTCAATCCTCCCGCAGTACCCAGTCAGAACCC